CCGCTGTTGGCTCAAGCAGAGGTTGAAACGATCGCGATCTGCCCGCGAGCAGAGAAGCCCGGTTCGAAAAGAAAGCCACGGAAGGTAAAGGGCTCATTTCTCATGAGCTTGCTAATTATGAGCTTAGAAAAAATAGCGGAGTAAACATTTTTTAACAAGAATAAATCTTAGGACAAAATTTTAAAATAGACTCTTTTTAAATTTTATTTTTAAAAATTGACCCTTTGAGATTTATTTAGCATTTTCGACTTAGTTTCTCCACCTGACTAAAACCGGGTTGAAAATGCTAAATAAGTTTCTAAAATTTCACGGGATTTTAGAAACCCTATGAAGTTTAGTCCCTAATTACTCGCACTAATCAAAACAACACTAAACTTCACGGGATTTCAAATCTCTTGAAGTTTGGCCAACTAGTTTCTTCTTGTCATATTAATTAAAGCGTAGGAATTCTTATTCATTGGACCACTGGCTACATATCTTGGACGTACACTTTATTGAAAGAGGGCAGAAAGGTTCTAGTCTCTGACCCCTAGCATTACCAAGAGTTTTATCGTCTCTTGTGCATGTAACTCCAAGGACTAAGACATGGGAAGCCGTACTTAATATTAAAAAGGTAAATAAGAGAGGGACTATGACATGGGAAGCTATACTTAATATTAAAAAGTTAAAGAGGAGAAGCAAAACACAACAAAGTCAGCAGCCAGTCCAGTGTGCCTCAAAAAGTTACAGCCAAACTTCACAGGATTGAAATCCTATGAAGTTTGGTGCTATTTTAATTCGGACGAGTAATTAGGGACTAAACTTCACAGGATTCTAAATTCCGTGAAGTTTTAAAAAATTACTTAGCATTTTCAACCCAGTTTTAGCCATGTGGCTAAAACTACATTGAAAATGCTAAATAAATCTCAAATGGATCGATTTTTAAAAATAAATAAAAAGGGTCTATTTTAAAATTTTGTCCAAAATTTTAACTTCGGATAAATCTCTTCCATCCTTAACTTAAAATATTCAAAAAAATTACAAAACACCCTAAAGATTCATAATATGCAAGTAAAACTAAAATTTCAAATCCTATGAACACCGCCGTAAAAATTTTAGGATTTATAGAAAACACCTTGAAATTAAACAAATTGCAAAAAAGACATTCAAATTCAAATTTTACAAAAAGGTCTAAAAATATCAAAGTGAATACGGTACAGAGAAATTTTTGAGGGCTTTTTTGCAAAATTTAAAAGTTTTATGGTGTTTTCAGTTAATTGTTTTATGTTTGAAAGTTTTAGTTTTTTGTAAATTTAGAATTTTATGGTGTTTTTTTGCACGTTTTTAATGTTTTAGGGTGTTTTTAACAAATTCTAAAACTTTTGGTGCTGTTTGTATTTCCATGATTTTCATTGTAATGTTTTTGATTTGGAATATTCAGTTTATTTTTTTTAATTTTGATTTTTGAGGATTTCAAAATTTTAGTGTATTTTCAATTAATTTAAAAATTTTAGGGTGCTTCTTGTAAGGTTTGAAATTTTTAGTGTTATTTTGAATTTTTACGATATTTTTATAATTTTTAATTTTTTTGAGGATTTCCTTGTAGTTTTAGAATTGTTGAGCCGTTGCTTGTAATTTCCTATTTACAAGAGGATGTTTGTTATTTTTTATTTTAGGGGGCTTTTTTGGTAAGTTTTGAAACTTTTTGAGTTTATTTATAACCGCACATAGTTAAATAAACTAAGCCTAAACTTTTCCCTCATTTTGATCTTACCACTTCACTTAGTTAAAGTTTTATCCTCATACGTGGTTAAACTTTTAACACTACTAAAATTTTAACATGATAATGAACATGGTTAAAGTTAGAAGAAAGTTTACTAGGATAAAGTTTTGCTACGTTTATCCTACCAAACAAGTTACAAGCCTTAAGGGATTCACATTTTAGCCCCTATCATTCACTTTCACAAAAAAGGCCCTAATACACTCTCCCTCCCCGCTTTCTTCTTCCCGACAAACTTCTCCTCTAAACTCTGCAAACCCTCCCCTCCTCGCCTCTTCGGTTCCATCTGCTGCCCAAATATCCCTTCACCCCCATAACCCCCCAAAAATTACCCAAACCTCTCTCCAGGAAATTTTAAAAGAACCCCTCAAAACCCCCCTAGCCCCCCCCCCCCCCCCCCGGTCCTGCTAGCATTGACAAGCTCTTCCTCTCTAGCTAGCGAACGCTCTCCTCCTCCTCCACCTCCCATTCAACTCCCAGACCCAAAACCAAATCTGAATCCAAAACCGACCTGAACAGCTCCGACCGCATCAAAGTTCGTGAAAAGGAGATCTATATATGGACTACATAGAATAAATCCTTGTGTTAAAGTAAGAGAGAGAGAGAGAGAGAGAGAGAAGAGAGACTTGGGTAAATTTCCCTTGAATTGAATATTGAGGGTGTACATATATATATATATATATATATATATATATATATATATATACAAGTAGAGGAGTGTGAGGTTTGTTCTCATAACCAATGTGGGACTAAACCCACTACTAACACAATATTATCAACATCCCCTCTCAGACTCATGTTGGATCAAACAAAGTGAATTTGCGTACAAGAAACTGGAATTGATGAACGGGTAAGACCTTTGTGAAGAAATCTGCAAGCTCGTCAGCGGATGAGACATGAGGAAGTAGAATTGTCACAATAGAGAGGAGTATGAGTCGTAACAGAAATACCGAAATCACTGAGAAGACGACGAAAATAAATAATCTCTTTAGCTGTTGTGAACATTGCACATTACTCTGCCTCGATGCTGAAAAGAGCAATAACATCTTGTTTATTACTCCGCCAGGAAATAAGAGAATCACCAAGAAATATATAATAACTTGTGGTAGACTTCATGGTAGTGGGATCATCAGCCCAATCAACATCAGAATATGCACAAAGCTCTAACTTGGATGTAGCAGGAAACAGAAGAGAGTGAGTGCTAGTACCTTAGAGATACCAAAGAATCTGTAATAAGACAACATAGTGTGCAGAACGTGGGGCACTAACAAATTGACTGACAATGCTAACAGCATGAGAGATATTTGGTTGAGAGATGCATGTTAGACCCTAAGGTCGCTATGAAAGAACCCTAGAGGGGGGGTGAATAGGGTTTATGCTTATCTAATCCGATTTTATGCCAATTTAAAACTTTTTAACAAATATGTTCTTGCAAGATGATATACAATTACTTATTGTTTGCGTCAAAAGTTGGTTTTGTCATGGCATTCATTATATCTTCAGTCGATTACAATAAATTCAAAAAAAGAGATAGCCTTTTTATAAGACTCCTTTACACAACAAAAATGAAAATTACAACTCTTGGGAAACAAACGCAGGATCGTTGTTTGGATCACTGCTTGTGTGGGATCTTTGCCTGTGCCGGGGGTGCGTTAGCCCGTGGACCACCAAATCACAGATTCTGATCGAATCGTGAGGGGTTTATGATTCTGACTTCGTTTATCGAAGTGAGAACTTAAAACGATATCTTATCGAAGTAAGATAGTCGTTCTTCTTGAAATCAAGTCAAAGCCTGAATATCAAGGAGTGGCTGGAAGCTCAGGAACTCTGCTCTCTCTGCTCTGGAATGCTCCAAAATAGGCTCCAAAATGATCAGCCCTCTCAAAAATGGCCTTCGGGGGGTATTTATAGCCCTTAAGAACAGTTGGTGGAAAACCAACTCGCGAGACAGCATTTGCTGTCTCAGCTGTCGAGACAGTGTTTGCTGTCTCGACGGGCGAGACAGTGTTTGCTGTCTCGGCCCGCGAGACAGTAAA